CCATTTTCCCTCTTCTGATTATCCTTCTTAAGGGAACTAGACTAAAAATCTCTAAATTTCTGCCCCCCTTGAGAACTATGATTCCACCACGCTGCCAGAGTATAGTCTACAAAATGCTGGCTCTTCTCACTAAAGAAAACTCAGTCCTCTTTTCAAGCAAAGAGTAATTTACTGCTCTTATTGTGAATGGACTCCTATAACATTCAAAATGTAGTTGTATCCAACTGATGAATGGATAAACAAACTGTGGTACAAACACATGATGCAATCAATGACAGAATATTATTCAGCCATAAAAAGGAAACACTGATACATGTTACAACATGGATGTATCTTGAAAACATTATGCTAAGTGAAAGCAGCCAGACACAAAAGGTCACATATTGTATAATTCCATTTATATGAAATATGCAGAATAAATTGTAAATTCATAGAGATAGAATGCAGATTGGTGGCTGCCTGGAGCTAGAGTGGATTGGGGAGAGGAAATGGGGAAGCAGCTGCTTAACAAGTATGGGGCTTGGGGGTAATAAAAATGTTTTAAAACTAGATAGAAGTGGTAGTTATATATTATAAATGTACTATTAATAAATGCCACTGAATTGTTCACTTAATTTAAAATGGTTAATCTTGTTATGGGAATGTCACCTCAAGAAAAACTAAATGTAGCTTCTGCTTACTAAAATTATAGCAGACTATTTCAAAGTACTTTATAAAAAGAAACTTTCTAGATTATTACTGGATTGCCTACTTTGTGATTCCTTTGTATTCTTGTTGACTTAAAAAACGATGAAAAAAAGTCATAATTATTATTTTTAAATTAATCAATCATAGCTCATAGACTAAAGTCTGTCTAGTGGCACAGAGCAGACTGCTGCCTACTTTTTCTTCCTGCTGCCTATTTTTGTACATAAAGTTTTACTGAAACAAGTCACATTTACACATTGTCTTTGACTACTTTTGCACCAGTTTTTTCTTTTCTTTTCTTGTTTTTTGGAGACAGGGTCTTACTGTGTTACCCAGGCTGGAGTATAGTGCTGCAATCATAGCTCACTGCAGGCCTGAACTCCTGGGCTCAAGCAATCCTCCCACCTCAGCCTCCCGAGTAGCTGGGACTGTAGGTGCACACCACCGTGCCTGGCTAATTCTTATATGTTTTTGGTAGAAAAAAAAGCTTGTCTCAAACTGCTGGCCTCAAGCAGTCCTCCCACCTTGGCCTCCCAAAGTGCTGGCATTACAGGTGTCAGCCACGGTGCCTGGCAGCACCACAGCTGAGTAGCTGAGACAGAGCACAAAGACTTGATATCTCGTTTACAGTCACAGTGAATTAACCAGTTCTTGTGCTCAGTTTATCAGATATGATTAACTCCTGAGCAAATGAATGGAAAGTTTAAATTACAACATAGCCTTGCTTGCTGTCCTTCAAAATCTTATGTCCCATGGACCTTAGAGAGACTACATTAGATATTTTACCCAAAAAAGTTGCTCAGGTCTTTTTAGTACATGATCACGTCTAAGAGAGTTAATGTGCTCTTACTCTAACACACACTCCATTTTACTTCAAAAACATGTCCTATAGTATGTCCTATAGTAGATATAAAGCTTCTACCCATGGATAAAAATTGTGCTATACCTGAATAAATATTAGTATTACATAAACACCCAATACATTTTCCTTTTCAGTATCCACTTTTAACCACATTAGTGAACTCTGGTACCTTACTGTCAGGTTTAAATAATTAAATTAATTAAAGTCACTTTAATCTCCCTGTGCCTTAATTTC